GTATATTTGTGTTATGTCTTTGAGCCATGTCGGGAATATCTATCAACACTACAAAAACATCTATTCACACATGCAAGCAAGGATATTTATTGTGCCATTGTTTGTAAGCAGTAGAGATGGCAAACAGACTGGCCATCAATACAGAATTGGTTGAAGCAGATATGGATGGATCTTCAAGAGAGTTTCAGGCAAAGTGAAGAAGAACATGGGTAGTAAGAGTGAATACAAACAGAATATCCACATATGCACCTGTTTTTATTAACATGTAGATAAACTCGGAGTCTGCACTTCTCAAAAGAAGACATTTATGCAGCCAACAAACGTGAAAAAAAGCTAATCATCAAAACCACATTGAGATAACATCTCATGCTAGTTAGAATTGTGATCATTAAAAAATCAGGAGACAACAGATGCTGGAGAGGATGTGGAGAAGTAGGAAGGCTTTTACACTCTTGGTGGGAGTGTAAATTAGTTCAGCCATTGTGAAAGACAGTGTGGTGATTCCTCAAGGATCTGTAACTAGAAATACCATTTGACCCAGCAGTCCCATTATTGGGTATATACCCAAAGGATTATAAATTTTTCTGTTATAGAGACACATGCACACCTATGTTTATTGTGGCACTGTTCGCAATAGCAAAGACTTGGAACCAAATCAAATGTCCATCAATGATAGATTGGATAAAGAAAATGTGGCACATATATGCCATGAGTTACTATGCAGTCATAAAAAAGGATGCCTTGATGTCCTTTGCAGGAACATGAATGAAGCTGGAAACTATCATTCTTGGCAAACTGACATAAGAACAGAAAACCAAACACTGCATGTTCTCACTCATAAGTGGGAGTTGAACAATGAGAACACATGGACACATGAGGGGAACATCACATACTGGGGCCTGTTGCGGGGTGGGGGATTAGGGGAGGGATGGCTGGGGCTGGTGGGTTAGGGGAGGGATAGCATTAGAAGAAATACCCAATGTAGATGACAGAGTGATGGATGCAGCAAACCACCATGGCACGTGTATACATATGTAACAAACCTGCACGTTCTGCACATGTACCCCAGAACTTAAAGTATAATAATAATAATAAATCGTTTTCCAAAATCAAAAATTAGTAGGTGGTGTATAAATGAAACCAAAATCTAAGACATTTCTCCTAATGAAGTAAAATGGAAATACGACTTTAATCACAGGGTATCTGAGAATCCTGACACACTTTTAGATGGGATTATGAGCTCTGAGCCTCATTGATTTCCTACAATTTTCTGAAGTTGATCAGTTAAACAATATGATTATGAATTCATAGATTTAAATGTGGTTAATATATTTCAGTCAATTACATTCTTTATTCTTTTTAATGCTCAAATGAACCCATCTGTGGTCAGTGAGCACCTCTTCATTTAGAATTCCATGTTCTTTTAAAAATTAAGTTTTTAATCTTGAGACGCTGGTAGATTCTAATGCATTTGAGAAACAACACAAACATTGGTGTAGCCTTCACTCGATTTCCTAATGGTAACATCTCATGAAACTACCTGTAATACAGTGTCACAAACAGGATTCTGCCACTGATACAGTTCACTTATCTTCCAATTTCCCATTTCACTGTGTGTGTGTGTGTGTGTGTGTGTGTGTGTGTGTGTGTGTATTTAGTTTATGTGGTCTTAGCACCTGTGTAGGTTTGTGTATTCCTCAGCAGCACTGAAGCAGAACAGTCACAGTCTCTTGCTTTACCTTTCATAGCCACACCCATTAATTCCTATACCACTCCCGCTAAGTCCCTGACCCCTGCCAGCCACCAACCAGTTCTTCATTTCTTTAATTTTGTCATTTCTAGATTGTTGTACACATGTGCAGTATGTAACCATTTGGGATTGACTTTTTAAACTTAGCTGAATTCCCTAGAGAGGTATCCATATTGTGCAGATATCAGTAGTTCATTCATTTTTATTGCTGAATAACATTCCCTGATATGCATGGTCTACAGTTTCTTTAACCATTTACACATTGTGGGACATCTGGGTTGTTCCCAGTTTTTGGCTATTGTGTCTTCTGTTTCTCTTTTCTTGCCTTCCTGTGGATTACTTACACATTTTTGAGCATCCTCACTCTAAGATGTGATATTAGGATGCCTATTTTAAAAAATGATTTGTTCATAGTGTTTTTGAGGATATCTTTTTGTATGATGTTTTTACAAAGAACATCTGGCTCTAGATATTACAATACAGACATACACACATGGCTTATCACGGTTCATTGGCATTGGGATTTTTCCACTTCCGGTCATGTGTGGAAACCCCACCTCAACTTAGGTCTCTTTTCCTTCTCTGCTTTTAAATATCGTCTTAACTGTCAGATGGTGTTATGATTTATTTTAATTATGAAATACATTTTATAAAATTCGTGGAAACGGTAGAATGCAACAGTCTGTTGCATTCACCAACATTTCTGCTCTTTCTGTTGTTTTTTTCTTCCATCCCAATGCTCCAAGATTCCTCCCCATATTTTCATTTTTAAAGTATTTCTTCATCTGAGAATGTCTTTATTTTATCTTCATTCCTAAAAGATGTTTATATTAGATTCAGAATTCAGAATGACAATTCTTTTCTTACATCATGAGAAATGTTAGGGTACTTTCTTCTGGCTCCCAGGGTTTCAGATGAGAGATCTGCTAACCTTTGAGTGGGTGTTCCCTAGAGGTAACATGTCATGGTTCTCCAGCTGCTTTAAAGCTTTTATTGTGTTCAGATTTTAGAAGTTTACTTATGGTTTGGTTTAATGTAGATTTCTCTCAGTTTGTTATATTTAGTGTTTGCTTAACTTCTTGAGTCTGAAGGATTTTGTATTTCTACAATTTTAGGAAGTTTTTCAGCCATGATTTCCTTTCACACTCTTTCAAGTTCCACTTGGTTTCTCCTCTCTTTCAGAGACTCCAATGACACCAATATGGAATTTTTTATTACTGTCCTACAGGTACTTGAGGCTCTGTTCATTTTCCTATCAATCTCCTTTCTCCCTGTTGTGCAAATTGGGTGCCACACACTGATCAGCTCTCAGGTTCACTGGTTCTCTTCTCTGCCTTCTCCATTATTCTTCTGAGACCATCCAGCGAGTTCTTTTATTTGCGTTACTTCATTTTCTAGTTCTGCAGTATCCATATGGTTCTTTTTTATAACTTCTTTTTCTTCATTGAGATTTTCTGCTATTTTGTTTCAAGACAATTTGCAATCGCTTGTTGAAGCATTTTTTCTGATGGATGCTTTAAAATACTAGCCAGTTTACTCCATATCTGATTTGTCTCAATACTGGCATCAGTTGATTGCTTTCTTAATTCAAGTTGTGTTTTCTTTGGTTATTTTTATAATGGGTGATTTCCAATTGTATCATGGGTATTTTGAGCATTATGATAGGAGACTTTGAGCCTTATATAAAATTTTTTATTTTTGTGGGTGGTCATTCTACTTAAGCTTAACACACAGATCTTGGTCCACTTTGTGTGCTGTGGTTCCCATTAAGAGTTTAATTTTGGTTTAACTGATGCTTCTGGAATTCGCTTATGATGCCATATGAAAGGACAGATGAGATATCTCCAGCTGTCTCCATGTTAGAGGGAGATGGAGCCTCCAGCAGTTGGGGAAGAAGAGGACTTCTTAGAAGCCCAGGTCTTTGTTGTATCAGGAGCCATCCTGCTGTGGGGCAGTCAGTATTTCCAGGCCAGGTCACTTGTCATTGTGGAATACCCTTTGCCCTGTCTCTTGGGTGCTTGTTGTGGTTCCTCTACCCCCAGGGGCAGAACAAACATTTCCCTGGCTGCTTATTATCAGTGGCATCTCAGCTGATCCCCTTTGTTGTTGTTTCAGGGCCAGCGTGGTTTGTTGGAAGGACTCCCGGTCCCTCCAGAGAGGCAGCCCAGCTAGGCTGCTTTCTGTCGCCAGAATATTAGAAATGTGAGGTCTTTTGGGTGGAGGTTTTAATGTGTGTGTGTGTGTGTGTGTGTGTGTGTGTGTGTGTGTGTGTGTGGTATGCATTCTCTATTTGTAGTTTAAAAATATTTTACAGATCTTTTAAATTTGTTGCATTAATAATGTTATTCAGATATCTGTGTGCATTTTTTTGACTGGTATAGCTGGTATTTACTGAGTATTTACTATGTGCCAGGCCTGATGCCAAGATATTGGAATACTAATTTATCTTAATACTTAGAAGAATCTCTACCCCTATTTTTCTGGAAGACTGAAGCTGAGAGTTCAAGGCTTTTCTCTGTTTGCTGTGCTATTTCTCAGCTCCTGTGCCACTGTGAGGGTCTCCTAGTGACCCTAGGCAGATGTAGTTAGTCCCTCAAACCCTCCTTAAACATTGTCTCTATGGCATTTAAACTATTTTTGGTATTAAATATAATAATATTGCAATAGACATATTCATGGAAATAGCTTTATATTTTATTTAAACTATTTCCTTGGGATAGAGTTCTTTTATCCTGAGAGAGAAAAGCATGTACATTTTTTATGGATCAGTGACTGTATTTTTCTGATACCCAAATTATTTTATATAACTTATGCCAGGGTACTCTGCCAGCAGCAATAAATGAAAAAATGTACCAGTTTCATTCTATCCTCAATAGTTCTGGGTACCACAAAACAAACAAGTATTAGTTGAGAATCCATTTTTGAGGAAGAAATGTGGGCAAGCATTGTTAATTTGGTCAGTATGTACTGGGGACATGTGCTATACCCAACAGTGAGCCCAACACTAGAGAGACAGTGGTGAACAGGCAGGTAGCCCGTGGATGGACAGAGTCAAGGAGAGAGGTCTCAGAGGACTCACCTGTGATGTGAGGGCATTGGAACTTTTGGAACTTTTCATTTTATTAAGGAAGGCCTGCAGGTAGGTCTTTGCTCTGGTGGCCACGTCTTACACAGTTTTTGTTGATGTCCTTGTTGGAGCTGAATATAGCAGCCAAATAAGAGACATACCCAAATATTCTTCATTTTGCAGGCTAATTACACCTTTCATATCGTGGACAAGCTAAAAACTTTATCAGAAGCACTGCTGGAAATGTCCAGCCTTTTCCAGAGAGGTGGAAGTGGCCAGATGTTCAACCAGCTGCAGGTGAGTGGTTGGTCTTCGCCACCGAAGGATGGGGAGCTACTGCTAGGGTATGTATGAGACATCGGGGCAGTCCTGTAGAGGATTCTACAGTCACATCAGGTATGCTCGTTCTAGATGATTCATATAATTGACATAAAATTAGAGATGTGTGAAAATTTTTTGTGATTTTTCAGTATTTTACCTATGCAGGATGGTATAATTGTGAGAATAATTAATAATTTGATAATAGTAACCTGTTGTTTTTACTGTATTAAACTTAATGCTTTTTAGATTGTTTGTATACTTTTGAATTGTAGGTCTATTCAATGACTAACGATCATTTTCTCTTATTCTGTATTGACAACCTAATATTTTAAAAAGAAATGACTTGCAGTTTAGAATGACCCAACTCCATTAGAGCCTGACAATTGTCAAATTTTAATTCAGGTGGATCACCTAATAATTTTTTGGGCGTTTGTGTAGCTTCAACTTACCTAAACTCTGATAGGGTGAGAAAACATGCCTGCATTTTAATTCATGTTTGCTTTATTTATTAACCACCAGGTGGGTAGTTCAGAGTACAGACTCAGGAGTTAGAATTGTTTGAGTTTGATTCCCAGCTCAACTCCTGACCACTTGTATGATCTTGGATGAGTCACTGAAATTCTCTGTGCCTTGGGTTTCTTCCCTGAGAAATGAGGAAGTGATAGCACTTATGAGGTATAAATGGGTCAGGATACATAGAGCACTTGGAATAGGTTATGACACAGAGAAAATGCTACTGTGTGAGTCTGGGTTTTCCAAGAAGCAGATGCTAAGATGGGATTACATGTGCAAGAATTTGATTTTCGGAAATGGCTGCAGAGCAAAGGAAGGGGAAGGTCAGACAGGCTGAAAGTGAAGTTGTCAGTGGTGATACAAGTCTGACCCTGAGGAAAGGAGAGAGGGAGAGTGTCAGGTGGAAGCATCTTGGTGGGTCCTGCAATTTAATGGACATCAGACAAGGCTGAGAGCAAGTCACAGAGTTAAAGTCGGTCATCAAGGGAGGGGTCCCACATCAGTGGAGTCCTGTGGCTCCTGGGAGTGGTCCTGATGTGGTGGTCATTGGTGAGGGACACCCCATGGGAGGTGTGACCTCAGGCAAAGTGCCATAGATTCAGAGTGCAGCAGTGGGCCCTGCCATTTCCATTTCCTGCAGTTGGAGATCTGTGATGTTCGTTCTCACAGAGGCCCGTGGCCATATGTGTTAGCTAGTCTTGTAATCTTCTTTAATTTGTTTGTGCATGGACTAATTTGTTAATACAGATCTCAGCAAACCTCTGTGGTTAATAGGCCAGAGAGTGTTTTAGACTAGATAAGGTCTCTGCTGCAACTGTGTAATCCCTTGCAATATTATAAATGCCAAGTTGAGAATGTACAAAGTTCTAGGAGAACATAAAACAGTGCCTATCTTGGCCTCAAAAATTGGGCCACTGTTGTGAAGTCTATGGTGTACATGAGTACTGTTTACTAAGTAGCCATGTCAGAAATCAAAGTCACGTATTCCACCACTTGAAGAACTTATCTTCCATAGGATAAGATGGTATAAGGTGTTCCTCTGTTTCTTAACTTTGGGATCATGCTCAGGGGAGCTCACAGTGCCTTGGGTTTGTAGTAGTCGATGTCTGTGTTTCAGACCTGGTTCTGCCACTAGATTGAGTGGTTAGAGCCTCTGGGTAAAGTCCTACCTTTGCTCTGCTTTCCTGCTTCATCAGTAAAAGGCAGCAGTAACCTCGTGGGGATGTTGTTAAGATTAAGTGACATGATGCATAATAAGTGTCTGGTACACTGACTGGCAAATAGCTAATGCCCAGTGAAGGAAGATAAATAAGACTCAAAACAAGAAAAGCAAACAGCAAGCTTTCATAATAGTCTTGTCATCTGTACACAAGATTAATTAAAACCATCACATGTAATAAAGTGAATGTGAGAAATAAAGGAGCTAATTACAAAGGGTACATATGATTTGAGAATTCCCCTCCTGAGCTTGTGTGCTGGAACAAATCTGGATATCATACAAATATTCTCTAAGAAATTGGCAAATTCCAAAATTAATCCCCAGTTTTGGATCCTAAGGTGGAGCCTGGATGCATCAGTATTTTTCCTTCTTAGTTTCTTGTTGGTTGTTATATGTTGTAAGTGTGGAGCAGTGCAGTGCAAGTACATGCATATCAACAGCAAAATAAAGGAGCAAGATGTCATTATGTTGATGATAAAATGAGTAAAACCATTGACAAATGAGGCAAAGTCAGAACCATCAATAGTAATGAGAGAAGAATAGTACAGATGAAGCAATGAAAGATGCTTCTGAAAATGATGAATAGCCAAATATTGAGAGAGGCTTTGGGAAATTCTGATATACTCCCTCAGAGGTTTTGCAATGTGGACCCTTTCTTTATAACTGGTGTCTGGGGAAGGCCATGCAAAGCAAAGGAAAGAATCTTGTAGAAAGTAAAGGATCACCATATAGGTTCATTAGAAAATTTTGCCAAAAACAAACAATTCAATCTTTGCTTTTAGTATGAAATCATAATTATAATTCCAACATAAATTTTCATAATTGTTGATTTTGTCTTTCAAGGTAAGGGCCTAATCAAATGTTATCCTGTTATTGTGGTGTTTTAAAACTTCTTTTAAGTGGATTTAGTTTATGTGTCTTTTTCCTGTGTAATGACATTGTGAATAAGTCTAATAAGTATTATTCAATAAGACAAAATAATGCGATTATTTTTGTTAAGCTATCTTATTTTTCTTTAGGAGGCCCTGATAAACAAATTTGTAAGAAACTTTGTAGAAAACCAGTTGCACATTGATGTAGACAAACTTATCGAAAAACTCCAGATATACGGTAAGTGTGCTGATGGGTATGGTAGCATCCTCCTGCCCAAATGGCTCTGCCACTTGGGCGAGTCCTCCCCCCTTGAGTCGTGATGTTGCTAGGCGACTTCCAGCAGTCACTTTTCCTCCCTCAGTTTCTATTTTCTTATCTGGACCCTGAAGGGCTTGAACAAAATCCACTCTAAAGTTTGTTCATGCCTGAAGTTTTTTGATTCACTGATTCAGGACTTAAGTAGTAAAAAACCTAGTTAAAAAGGAAGTTTTCTGATTCAAACACAAGAATTGTGAGTTATTATTATTATTGAGTTAAAAGTAAATTGAAAGTCATTGCATGGGTTTGAAAATGTGAAGCTCAGATAAAAACATCACCTATCAGTAAATATTTATTGTACCTCTGCAACTGATGGCTCTGTGAATTCATCTAGATGTTGAGCAAACATTTGCTGGACACACAAGGAGAGCCAGTCCTATGAAATAATTCATAGAGGGGCATTTAATATTCCTATTCTGCCGTGCAGTGCAGAGAGGAAGATGACCATGCTTAGCAACTGCAACACTGTGGCAAAATCGGCTGTCAGGGCCCTGCCAGAGGAGCTTTCAGGAGCCTAACCCAGTTGGTGGGGACCTGGAGTCAGAGGAAGGATGGGTGTCAGGCTGTTTCAGGTCCCTGGCTCCCTCACACTCTGCTTGTGCACAGGAAAGGGTTTTGGATTTGCCTTACATATGAAAGTTAGAGGAAGACGAGACATTTTATTAAGCATAATACAGTACTTCCCTTTAAAAAAATTTCTAGTGATATAGTACTGCTACTTCAGAAAGGTTAATCATGTTTTAAAAGGTTTCATATTTTAAAAGTGTTACATAATTTTTTCAATTAATTAAAACACCTTTAAAAAAATAAGTAGCACTGGAAAGCTTATAATAATGGTGTCCCCATCTTCTGTTGCTGGAATCAAGGACTGACATGGTCTGAGAGAGTTCCTGTGTGGACCACAGATGTCTCCTGAGTTTGCATCTACCATGGTGCTAGTGTTAATGTCTTGGAGTGTGAATCATACATGACATGAGCCATGTTTGTTCAACATGTTGCTGCTTAGCCAGCACTAGCTTTGAATAGGTTTTCCCACATGTAAACTTGTATTGTAAAATTAAGAGAACCTTCCCCAGAAATTTAGAACTTTACTCACAAGTGTGTTGGGACACAGAATATGGACTTCACATGGAATTTTGAGGTCTATGAAATGTGATCCTCTCTTCTTTCTGCTCCCGCTTGAAGCTGAAGACTGAAGACCATCTCATCCGGGGGCGGGGAATGTTGGATATTTTCCGTCCAACCCTGCACAGCCCTCCAGGAGCAGGCACAGTGTGGGGTCAGGCGTTCACGGGTGGCGTGGGTGGGATTGATCACTGACCGGATGCAAATCTCCTTCTGTAACGCTCTTGCTAACAAATGAACTCACTTTACCGTATGCACTCTTTAAATTTATACCTAGGTCATACTCACTTTCCTTCAACCTATACCCAGTATCTGGAAACTGAGGTAAAATCACTATTTGAAGAGGTATTCATGCAACTTCTTGGAATGTTTGCCAAATTATGCTGTCATTTTTATTCATTATACAACTTTTATTTTATTTTTTTTGAGCTGGAGTTTTGCTCTTGTTGCCCAGGCTGTAGTGCAGTGGCGTGATCTCAGCTCGCTGCAATGTGCGACTCCTGGGTTCACGTGATTCTCCTGCCTTACCCTCTCAAGTGATTCTCCTCTCTCACCCTCCTGAGTAGCTGGGACTACAGGCATGTGCCACCATGCCCAGCTAATTTTGGTATTTTTAGTAGAGTTGGGGTTTCACCATCTTAGCCAGGCTGGTCTTGAACTTCTGATCTCAGGTGATCCACCCACCTTGGCCTCCCAAAGTGCTAGGATTACAAGTGTGAGCCTCCTTGCTTGGCCTCGTTATATAATTTTTTAAAATAACCTTTTGCTTTTTTACAAAAAGTATATGTGTCTGTTGTAGAAACATTAGAAAACACAAACAAGTCAGAAAAGAAATCCACCTATAATCTCACCACCATAGATAGCTATTGTAAAAGCCTGGGAGTACTTTTTTAGATAAATTTGTATGTACTTATATGAGCATAGGAATATGTATTTTCACAAAAATGATTATACTGTTCATATAATTTTGTTACTGATTAAAAAACAGGATTACTATAAAAGTTTATCATATCCATAAATATTGACTGTTACTAAGAAAAAGTCCCTTCATCTGTCTCTGCATTCCATTCCACTCCATAGTGTGAATTTAAACTTAGGAATTTCTTTGGGATTAGTCATTATATATCTAAAACACCTATGGCAGTATTTCTTGATTTGTTTGTTACAAAAATTATCAATTGACTTCCTGTTCAGAAAGATGTTATACCACCTCATTTCCCTGATCAGTTCCTCCTACTATAGTTTATGACTACGTTAGTTGTCATAAAACATTATGAGGAGATAAATGTCGTTCAGTGCAGAGCCAGGCTATGCATTATAGTGACATTTCCTTATTTACTATGTTTCCCTTTTCCTAGAGTTTCATGCTCTCTTGCTATCATGAAACGCTTGCTTTCCATTGTGCCCACCTCCTGTGTGCCAACACACCATTTTTATGTTGAGTACTTTTGTCTGTGCAGATGCCCATCCAGATCCCCTACCATGCTCCACCTGAGAAGGCTGCCCGCTCTTGCCATGACCTGGCTGCTTTGCTAGGAATTCTCTTCTCTGCTCTCCTGGGGTGGATACCACGATTCCTGAGCTCTATGTCCTCCTTTTTGTTTTATTACCATGTTTTGTGGGTTCACATTAATCACTGTAATCCCGAAAAAGAGAATGAGAGAAAAAATTCCTGAGTTATTTTACTCAGTAAAGTAAAATGATATTGGAATAATATGTGGAAATATCCCTTATTTCATTACCAATAATTTTATATCTCTTCTTTCTCTCTCCTTTTTGTTTTTAATTAGTCTTGTCAGAGGTTTATCAATTTTTATTAGTCTTAAAAACCCCTCCATATATGGCCTTGCTTATTTATTTTATGTTTGTTTTGATTTCACTGATTTCTGCTCTCTGTTAGTTTCATCCTTTTACCTTGTATGTATGTATGCATATGTGTGTGTTTGGTAACTTGTTGGGATGAATACTTAAATTATTGATGACCACCTTGTCTTCTTTTCACATAGGTCTATCTATCTATCTATCTATCTATCTATCTATCTATCTATCATCGATCTATCTATCTATCTATCTGTCTATATATCTATCTCTCTCTATATATAGATATGAACTATCCATATATATATATAGTATCCATATATATATATGGATACTTCCCTCTGGTATTACCTTAACTGCATCTCACTAGTTTTGATGTCTTGTATTTCACTCTCATTCAATTAAGCATATTTTAAACATGTGGTGTAACTTCCTTTTTTTACTTTAGGTTATTTGAAAGTCTATAGCTTGATTTCTAAATATTTGGTATTATTTATCTTTGTATTAATGACTTCCAGCTTGACTTCACAGTGGTCAGAGAATGTACTTTGCTAATATGATTTCATTTGTTTGACATTTCTGGAGACTCACTCAATCCTTGCACACAGGGTCAGTTTTGGTTCTTGCATCGTTGGGTGCCGTCTTGAGCTTCCTCACTGTCTCCTCGTTCTAACAGCTCTTAAGAGGTGTGTGTTTACATTTCTCGTTATGATTGTGGGATTGCCTGTTTCTCCTTGAGGTTCTGTCCATTTGGGCTTTATATACTTTAACGCTGTATTGTATTTTCTATTGAGGACAGGTTTGTGATATTTAATTTTCCTTTGTTTTTATTTAAATTATCTTCCTTCTACCCTTTCCCCCTTCTTTTATTTCTTTCCAGAAGGTTTTCTGTGACTTACCTAGTTACATGGTTTCTTATGAGAATCCTCTTTTGGCTCTGTGGCATTTCTTGAATTAGTGACCAAATAGGTTACATTTGGGGAAGGTCTTGGCTTCTATCTTTTGAAGCATTGCTTCTGATCACTTCTCCTGATTTCCTCTGCAACACTAGTTAAACACAATGAAAACTTTTCACAGTGTCCGATGCTTCTTTTTTTCTATGTTTTCTGACCTATTTTCTCTTAATGCTTCAGTTTGTGAATTTTTTTCTTACTAGATTTTTAATCAACAATTTCTCTCTTCAGCTGGGTCTAATCTGCCATTTAACATACCAATGAAGCTCTTCACTTCAGTTATTGCATTTTCCACTTAAAATTTAAATTTTATTATTTTAAAATACTTTAAAATTCTATTTCCATCTGATTTTGGATCAGTAGTCACATTTTGGAAGTGCATGTTGTGAGCTTTAATACTTGTCTTTTGTGGGTATTCTTTTTCATCTATTTTTCTCTTGGCGTTTGGTTTTCTTGTCTCCAGGAATATTAAGGATTAACAAAAATGAAATCAGACATTATAAATGGAAAATTGTAGAAATAAATTTGAGACTCCTGATAGTACTATCTTCCTCTGGATAATATTATTTGCCTGCTTCTGGCAGAGAGCTAGGGCAGGGCCATGTTTTCCTAATCCAGTTGGGGATGGAATGGATTGATGGAGGTGGACTTCAGCCTTGGTAGGGAAATTTCCAGTTTCCTGTACTCCCAGGGAGATCCCCTGTTTGGGTGGGGTGGGGGTCTCACCTATAAAACTGGTATTGGTTTGGGGCCATGTAGGTCCTGAGCTGAAAGCCCATGGACCACAGAAGACTCAGCCTCTCAGTTTTTGGCAGGACCAAATACCAGGCTTCCTAAGCCTCCCTTTTCTCTTGCATCTCAGACCTTTGAGCTTTTGCTGCCTTGGTAGCTCTTTAAAGTCTTTTTTTTTTTTTTTTTAAAGACAGAGTCTCTCTCTGTCGCCAGGCTGGAGTGCAGTGGCATGATCTTGGCTCACTGCAACCTCCACCTTCTGAGTTCAAGCAATTCTGTTGCCCTCAGCCT